GTCTCCACATACCTAGTTTGTCCTCCAGCTGCCTTTTCACAAGGAAAATCTCTTCTTCGGCCCGCTCAAGACTCTGCTTTAGTCCGGAGACCTCAACGGCATGAGAGGTGGCGGCCAACAGCGACACATGTGTTCATAAGACATATTTAGTTAGTTTTCTGTGAAAATTACTTGATCCTCTGTCCGGCTTTTCCTTTCCGAACACCGGACAGTGTCTCAGGGGCTACACTGTCTATACTATGACCTTCTTTCTCGCATCGCTTACCTCAAAGCCTGTCAGCGGCTGGTGCAGGCTTCGGTCAGTCTGCTCTTGACGGACTGAACCCTCTCATACACCGTACCCATAAGGATGCAGTGTTCCTCCACAATGGAAGTGCCTCGCAACGCTTCCAGCAGATTATCCGGTGCCTTTGGCTGGACAGAGGTCACCGGCGGAATAGGCACACCTCCTTCTTTTGAAGGAGGTTGCTTATCAGATTCCGGAGCCGTATAGGTCTCCGGAACCATATTCGGCTGGGGTCCGAACTAGACACGACCCCCATCGCCAGTATCCATGGGGGGGTTCTCTCTCCCAGGTGTTCGCCGGCCGAAGGGTCACCCTCTGGCGCCACCCGGACAGCCTCCTGAACCTCTTCCTGGCCCGGGAGGTCCTTTTGGACAGCACCTCATCGTCACCCCTGGCTGTGGGAGATTGAGCGGCCGGTGGTGACTCACTGGCCATCGCCTTTGAATCCAGCGAACCTCCTGATGAGGATCGCAGGGAGCTATCATGGGCCGGACTACAAGCGCGTGATTTAAAGCGTTAAAATTGCGAACCGAAGAGGCCGAATACATGAATGTGTCAGAGTCTTCTGAGTACTCATCATGCGGCCAGGGGCTTGTTTCGGCGACGCGGCTCTGGGCTGCTGTCAACGTCCCACGTGGAGTTGTCCGCAAGGGAGTTCTTCCCCCTCTTGGACGCTTCTGCCTCCAGATTCGTGGAGGCCGCCCTCTTCTTCTTTCCTCCTTCAGGGGGAGAGCTTCTTTCCTCCTCGTCCTCATCGCCGTCTTCGGCAGCGGAGGAGGGAGTCTCATCGTCTTCAGACGTCCTGTCCGAAGCTCCTTTGGGGCGGAGGCCACCCCGGGTCCCCTTGGCCTTCTTCTCCGATGGCTGGTAAGGCGCCAGAACCAGCATCTTCGTCAGAAGAGGGATGGCTGGTTCCTCGGGCAGCGGAGCCGGACACTCAATCCGCTCCGCTTTCTCTATCCATACCTGAAAAAATTGCTAGTGGAGTTTAAGTATCTCCCTTGAATAAGCAACTAGAGGATACACCTTGAAACACGAAAGACTTACCGCACTGGCGGGATGGGCCGGATCATGCCCGCGGTCCTCGTCCGTCTCCGGCGGTGTCTCATTGCCCTTGAGAGCAACTTCCAGATATCTTCGTGTGTGGTTTCGAAGAGCCTCTCCAAGGTCCGGTGCTTCTCCGGATCGAATTCCCACAAAGGGTAAGTCCGGCTCTGGCATGGAAGGATCCGCCGGATTAACATCACCTGGATCACGCTGACGAGCTTGATGTTCTTGTCCACCATGCTTTGGATGCGTGTTTGTAGCGCGATTAGCTCGTCTGACGAGGACCAATTTGGGCCCTTCTCTATCCAGGAGGTGAGCCGCATTGGAGCTCCGGACTTGAATTCGGGGGCTGCGGCCCAGGTGGTATCTCAGGGCTCTGTGATATAGAACCACAGTTTCTGCCACTCTTTGACGGTCTCCACAAAAGTACCCTTGGGCCATGTGACATTGGGGAGTTTGCTCACCATGGCGCCTCCGCTCTCCGCGTGTTGGTATCCACCATCTTCGGCTTCACGTTGAAGATCTTGAGCCACAGTCCGAAGTGGGGTGGAATACGGAGGAAAGCCTCACACACGACAATGAACGCCCAGATGTTGAGGAAATAGTTTGGAGCTAGATCATGGAAATCTAGCCCATAATAAAACATGAGTCTGCGGACGAAAGGGTGGAGAGGAAACCCTAACCCGTGGACAAAATAGGGGATAAACACCACCCTCTCATTGGGCTTCGGGGTGGGGACGATTTGCCCCTTGGCCGGAAGCCTACGGGCGATTTCCTTGGCCAGATACCAGGCCTCCCGAAGCTTGGTGATGTCCTTCTCCTTGACGGAGGAGGCCATCCATTTGCCTTGCACTCCAGATCCGGACATGGTCGAGTGCTTTCTTGAGGCGGAAAAGACGAGGACTCGGGCGCTGGAGCTTGAGAATGGGAGGGAAAAGAGAAGGAGAGGGCGTGGGTGAAAGAGGGGAATCCTTATCTCTTTATAAAGGCAGTGAATATTAAGCCCCTCCCCACTCGCCTTGAACTTGCTTGTTCCCAAGGGCCGTGCGAACGGCGCGGTTGGATTACCCGCGCCCGTATTGATGAGAATCCCGCAATAGAGGGACACAGTCTCTACTTTGACAAGACGTGCCAATAAAGCCACATCTCGGAATATGGAGCGGCAGGCCGAAAAATGGTTCGAAATAACGACCGGGAGGTGATGTAGTGTTACATTGCAAGAAGTTGTCAGCGGATTGGACTCGTGAAATATTATATTATCTGAAGTGGTGTGCGGAACTTGTTTTGTAGATCCAGACACGATCTTGGTGTTCGAAGACTGTGTCGGAGTATTCGGAGGAGGAACCCGCCTTGCAATGCCGAAGACAATCTGCGCGCCGGACACCTCGTCATTGAAGTCTGGTTCAGGGGCTACTGAGGGAGTCCTGGACTAAGGGGTCATCAGGCGTCCGGTCTATTGGGCATGGGTCGGACTATTGGACCATGAAGATATAAGATAGAAGACTTTCTCCCGTGTCCGGATAGGACTCTTCTTTGCGTGGATGGCAAGCCAGGCGGCCGGGTAGTATACTACTTCCCTTCTATGTAACTGACTTTGTATAACCCTAGTCCCCTCCGGCGTCTAAATAAACTGGAGGGTTTAGTCTGTAAAGACAATCATAATCAGATAGGCTAGACTTGTAGGGTTAGCCATTACGATCTCGTGGTAGATCAACTCTTGTAAACCCCATACTCATCAATATTAATCTAGCAGGACGTAGGGTTTTACCTCCATCGAGAGGGCCCGAACCTGGGTAAACATTGTGTTCCCTGTCTCCTGTTACCATCAACCTCAGACGCACAGTTCGGGACCCCCTACCCGAGATCCGCCGGTTTTGACACCGACACCGGACCCTTTCTAGAGACCGGTTACTCGACGATCCAAGAAGAAGACCGAAGAGACTCGTTCAAAGAGGAACGAGGACCGTACCTCCAAGAGGAGCAGAAGCAAGTAATTCTGCTCTTGAATACTTGGCTCTTGTAGTTGTTTAGTGGTTGTGAAACTACGTGGAACTATGTGTTTGCTATTTGTGAAACTATGTGTTTGCTATTTGTGAAACTATATGGAACTCCGTTTGCTAATGAGTTGAACTTCGTTTGACATGTCTATTTAGTTCAACTTTTATTAATGTGTATGTGATGCCCAACTTTAATTGTTCGAGATCCGTTTTTCTGACTCTATATCAGTGTTGTGATATTGCTTTTGAAAAGAAGCAAGCAATTAAACCTGTAAATCCTAAAACACAGGACCCTACTGCTAAGGACCCTGGCGGTATGGTCACACAGCCTACCGCCAACCCCCCTGGCGGTAGGTGGCCACTGCAATTTTTCGTTACAGAAGCTTTCCAAGGCAAAAAACCCAAGCCACCCCCTGCCGTCAAAGGTTCTGGCGGTAGGGTCAGACAGGCTGCCGTCAGGGTCCCTGTCGGTAGGGTAGTTATCAACGTCAGCACGGACAAACGGCCGCCGTCCCCCCTCCGTCGCACCCTACCACCAGGGACCCTGGCGGTAGCCTGTCTAACCCTACCGTCATGACCCTTGACGGTAGCGAAAGGGTCAAATCCCGAAATTCTTTCCAATTTGGGTCAGATCCTGAATTAGTATACGAAAAGGGTCAAAACATGAAATTTTGCCTCGGCACACAACCAGCTAACAATAGAACAGACGAGCTCATGATCAGAGCAGGGCGAGTTAGTTGGGCCAGTCCCCTGTACCGTGACTTTACCTTCACACAAGTATCATACGGACCTACGGCTGAGGTTGGTCAGGCCAGGTCCCCCAACAGCACTGGCTTTGCACTGCACAGCAGCTTCCATGCATGCATTGCATCCCCAGCCACGACGTACAGTTCGTGGAGTACTTAATAACGGGAGGAGGAAGCGTAAAGCCTAGGCCTTTGCCGATATTTTACTCAGGGAAAGGTACACACACTCGATCGATGATGCCCTCACAGATCCTGAATTCCATAATGGGCTAGTGCATAATCACCAACCCTTAACGGTAGCCCATGGCCCCATTATCGCATGCACGATGATCTCACTCTCAGGCATATGTTCAGCTCCCCTGATCACTCACTAGCTCCCACCCAACCCACTGATCAACCCCATCATTCCAAATCGAGTATTATACTACTATACTAGCACTAGCTAGTTAAATTATATTTTACCAAATGAGATTGTTGGCTTAAGAAATGATGTTGTGGGCATGGAGATTTTGGAGGGAGCAGGCAGCAAGATTCCAATGGAAGAAACCAAAAGGAGGGCAGCAAGTTGGGGCAGGAGGAGGAGGGCTAACAAGAAGACAGATCAGAGACGGGTGAGTGAGGACAGGTGCGGCACCAACCAGCAGCAACCCATCTACCCTAGCCAGTGGCCACGCCGATGCGGCGCACACGGGCTACTCCTACCTGCATGGGTACAAAACTGACAATTTGTCACTTACCCGCACCAACGCCTCCATTAATAGTTGAAGCTCTCCGTCTAGTTCCCTCCCTACCAGCTCCTCCTCCTACTCGCACCAGCATCATCATCATCAGTTGGTTAGCTGCGAGCTCCTCAAGATGCATGCTACCAGATAGGTGGCGGTACAGGGCTGGGGAGTGCGCGCGCGCGTGTGTTGGTTCGTCGCCATGGTTGCAGAGATGGGAGAAGCAGCGCCGGCAGCAATGGTGGAAACAGAAGTGGTGCCAGGGGCAGAGGGCAGCCATGGCGAGGCGCTGATGGTGCTGGAGACTCTGGCGTCGTCTTCGCTGGCCTGCTCCGTCCCGCAGTTCCCGACCAAGTGGAATTCCGTCAAGGACAAGCTCCGCCAGCTCTGCTCCGGCCTCAGTTTGCTGCGCGGCAATGGCGGCCACGGCGAGGAGGAGGAGGACGAGAAAGGGGAGGAATATCATGTGCTGGTTCAGTTTCTGCAGTCTGCTTCGGCCACCGTGAGGGGCATCCTGGACGTGGCCTCGCAGTGCAGCGACGGCACGTACGGCGGCGGGCGGCTGCGCCTGCGGAGCGACATGGACGGCCTGAGCGCCAAGCTGGAGGCGCACGTGCGGCAGCTCAAGGAGATGGCCTCCACCGGCGCGGCCACGTCGCCGTCGCAGGCCATCGTCGCGGTGCGGCCGGGCGCCGACGCGGGCGTCGCCGAGAAGCGGTTCTTCCTCAAGGACCTCTTCTCCCGGATCAGGATCGGCGGGCCCGTGCAGCGGGCGCAGGCGCTGGCCACCATCGCCGAGCTCATGTCGGAGGACGAGGCGTGCGTGCGGGTGGTGGCGCTCGACGTGGACGACGGCGTCGCCGTGCTCGCCGGCTTCCTCGAGTCGCGGGACCCGCGCGTCCAGGAGGAGGCCGCGGGCGCGGTGGCCGTCGTGGCGGGGTCCGACTCGTACAGGGGCATGCTGGTGAAGGCCGGCGTGATCGCGCCGCTGGTGCAGGTGCTGGAGAACGCGGGCGGCGTGGGCGCAGCCACGGCGCTCGCCAGGGAGCGCGCGGCACAGGCGCTGCGGGAGCTGACGGAGAACTCGGACAACGTGTGGGCCGTGTGCGCGCACGGCGGCGTCACGACGCTCCTCCACGCCTGCGCCGACGCCGGCAGCGGCGGCCGGCTGCTCAGCTCCTCCTTCGCCGTGCTCCGGAACCTGAGCAGGGTGGAAGAAGTAAAGATGTTCATGGTGGAGCAGGGCGTGGTGACCGAGCTGGTAAAGCTCTCGCAGAAGATGGAGGAGGTCCGCAAGCTCGGCGCCGTGGAGCTGCTGCACGCCATGGCGCTCGACGACGCCGACGTGAGGGAAGAAGCCATCAGCATGGGGGTGATCCAGTCGCTCCTCCAGCTGATATACCCGGACCTCCCCTACTCCTACAAGGCGCGCGAGGTGGCCCTCGCGGCCATCTGGTTCTTCTGCTTCTCCTCGGCGAGCTCCATCGACGACCTCACCAGCTCCGACGTGCTCGGCTGGCTGCTCCACTACCTCAACAACGGCGACTACGCGGTGCTGGACTGCACGCTCAAGATCCTCCGCCACCTCGCGGAGGCCTCGGAGGAGTACAGCCGGATGATGGCCCGGGCCGGGTACTTCCCCGCGCTCGCCGGCCTGCTCGCCGCGAAGTCCTTCCGGGTGCGGGAGATGGCGGCGCAGGTGCTGTCCAGCCTGCTGGCGCTGCACGGGAACCGGGTCATCTTCATCCAGGACGGCGACAACCTGGACCGGCTGCTGCAGCTGCTCGACCCGTCCGAGGGCAAGCTGATGGCCAAGGGGCTGATCCTCTCCGCCGTCACGTCGCTGGCCGAGACCGGCGCCGGGAGGAAGAAGATCGTGTCGTCGGAGCACTTCGGGAGCCTCAAGGAGCTGGCCGACTCCGGCGACCCCGACGCCAAGAAGGTCGTCAAGAAGATCGCCAACAGCAGCAGGCTGCAGTCGATGTTCAGCAAGATATGGAGCGCCTAAGTTATTCAGTTTTGCTGACACTCGTTTCTTACTCAGATGTCTTTACTAAACACCCCTTTGATTTAGCGTTAGTACATTTGATTTGCTGTCCATAGTTTCTGCATATCTACATCCAACCATCAGTGTGCTTCCCTTGTGCTGTACATTGCAACTTCAGTGAAATTCAAGTTTTGTCATCAGTCTGGTGTGATGATCAGCCCTTGGAAGTTGTAAATTCCAGTTGAAATTCAGGTTTTGTCATGGGGGTTTCAGACATCTTGTAACGCTGAACCGTCAACCCTGACAAGTCCAGCAAATTACAGCACCTGCGCTGTTGTCAGATAAATACCAAGACAAGAAGATGTTGTCCTACTATGGACCTAGAGATTCCTTCTTTATCTTTCCATCTCAAGTTTATCATCCCGTGATGCATCGAGATGAGATGAGCACGTGAATCACTCCAGCGATGGCTTGTCCAGGCTTCTAGCTGTTTGTATTTGTGCTCTGTGGGTCAAATTTAACCCTGGAGCCAAAGCGATCACTGGATCTTGGTTCACGTGTCTCCGGCAATGCTGAATTATAGTGAATTTTCAGTGGATTTGGACTCATGCTTACTTACTTGGTCCATCTTTTGGTTGTTGTTAATCAACAACACTTGTCCGACTCACTTGCAGCTGCAGTGAACCTCCACTTTCACTCTTCTTATTATATTCTCAGCTAATGTATATTGCCTATGCATGAACTGCAGCACTGGACGTACTATAGTACTCAAAGTCTGAAAATACAGTTTCTAACAGAGGATATGTCTGCTGAAACAATGACTAGGAAACACTGTTTGCACGTGAAAGGAGAATTATTTCAACAAGCTTTGCAAACAACCTAAGAGCAGAATATCCTCCTGCAAACAGCAGGTTTCATCCAAGGACGCAGAGAGAAATAACAGAGTACTTCTCACCCAAGTTATGTATACTTATATGCCATGTTTAATAATGCTAATAAGGGGATTCTTGTCTCAAATGACAGGCATCCGATGAATGGCCTGCATGCTGTTTTCATATGTTTTTGGGCAGATGCCAATTAGTAAATTCAGTATGATCGCATTAGTAATTTATACAGCTCTCCTGCTGCCACAGAAATATACTATCAATTTTTTACATAGCCTAGTTGGATTTAATGAGAACATTTGTCCGACTGAATTGATGAATTTGGAGCCATGCTTACTTGGCCCATCATTTTGCTTGTTTATAGTGACTTGTCCGACTCAGGAACCTCCATTTTCACACTCCTTGTTATCTTCTCAGCTATGCTTACTCCCCGCGTACTGTAGTATACTGAAACTACAGTTTATACCAGAACACATGTCTGCTGAAATGAATTTGTAGAGACAATGACTAAATAACAAATGCTACTCATCAGCTATCTGCATACCGAAGGAGAAAAATACTTCAATTTCAGCAAGCTTTGGAAATGGCAGCATATGAAGGTAACAGCAGACTATGTAACACACTGCAAAAAGCCTCACCCAAATGCTCAAATCAAACAAGCACTATGATCAATCAAAAACAGGTCAAAATCAAACTAATGCCCCGTTGCTCGAAGCTTCGGCTGGGTGAGATCCCTCACTTTTCATTTTTATTTGTTGGGTTTCTCTTTGATGACAGGGCACCTAATGGCCTGCACGATGTTTTCAAATGTTTTTGGGCAGATAACAATTATAGGAAACTACATGCACCGGGCTGCCCTTTTTTTTAACAATTATAGGAAACTAAGTTTAAGAAAGAAAACTCAGTGTGCCCATTAGTAACATCTAGAGCTCTCTATATGAGTTTCCTTCCTACTGCCACATATCAATTTTTGCATATATAAAGGTTAACATCAATTCTGCTTCAGGAATCGGGATGTGTGCGCATTAGTTTTCAGAATGTTGTCAGCCAGCCATGCATTAGCTGCATGTATGTTGTTCCCAATATGACTCATTCTGTTTTAACTATAGGTAGATAGACGATGGTGCCACTAAAATCTTTCTTTATCTTTCCCTGTCAATTTTAGCATCCCGTGATACTTCAAGATGAGCACGTGAATTAACAGCATCGACTTATCCAGGCTTCTAGCTGTCTGTGCTTTATGGGTTAAATTTATCCCTAGAGCCAAACTTATATATAGATGCATCAAAACAAGTGAATTTGGGTTGGCAATGGGCTGGCAATGCTGAATCTGAAGTGATTTTGGATTCAGGCTTAGTCAGTCCATCTCTTTGGTTGTAGTTAATGAACACTCTGCTACCCAAGAGCCTCCATATCTACTGCTATATGCCTATACATGAATAGCTACTCATCAGCTATGAAAGGAAAACATTTCAGCAAGCTTTGGAGCAGAATATCCTCTTGCATTTCCAAACAAAAGGTTTCAGAACCACACCATGACACTACTTACACGAAACAGAGCACACTGACAGACAAGTAAAACTAAGAGCACCCATATGAAGGTATCTATAGATGCAACAAAACAAATTCAATACTGAATTCACAGTGAATTTGGACTCAAGCTTAGTCAGTCCAGCAAAAATCATGCTACCCAATCACCTCCATTTGTACTGTTGTTATTCTTTATCTTATCAGTTATGCCTATGCAACCTGAAAACCAGAACACATGTCTGAAGCAATGGCTAAATAAGAAATGCCACTTATCAGACATTTCAATTTCAGCAAGCTTTCGAGCAGAATATTATCCTCATCCTCTTGCATTTCCAACCAAAAGGGTTTCAGTACCACACCATGACACTACTTACACAAAACAGAGCACACTGACTGACAGGTAAAACTAAACAAGAGCACCCATATAAAGGTCTTCCTCGGACTCTAGCCTGCCTTAACGACAGGTTTCATCCAAGAACGCAGAAAGAAAGAACAGAGTACTTCTCGCTCAGGCTATACATATACTCCCTCCATCCCAAAATAAGTGTCGTGGCTTTAGTTCAAATTGGGCTCAATTTGAACTAAAGCCACGACACTTATTTTGGGACGGAGGGAGTATGTCATGTCTAATGCTAATAAGGGGATTCTTATCTCAAATGACAGGGCAGCACCCAATGAATGGCCTGCATGCTGTTTTCAAATGTTTTCTGGGCAGATCCAAATTCACTAATTCAGTATGATCCCATTAGTAGTCTCTACAGCTCTCCTGTTGCCACAGAAATATATCAATTTTTTTACATATCCTAGTTGGATTTAATGAGAACACTTGTCCGACTGAATTGATGAATTTGGATCCATGCTTACTTAGCCCATCATTAGCTTGTTTTTAGTGATGACTTGTCGGACTCAGGAACCTCCATTTTCACACTCCTTGTTATCTTCTCAGCTATGCTTACTACCCGCGTCCTGTAGTATACTGAAACTACAGTTTATACCAGAACACACGTCTGCTGAAATAAATTTGTAGAAACAATGACTAAATAAGAAATGCTACTCATCAGCTATTTGCATACAAAAAGGAAAACATTTCAATTTCGGCAAAGCTTTGGACCAGAATATCTCCTCTTACAGTCCCAGACAAAAGGTTTCAGTGCCACACCTGACAATACTTACACAAAACAGAGCACACTGACAGCCAGGTAAACCTAAGAGCACCCATACATATAAAGGTCCTAACAAAGGAAATGGCAGCATTATTATGAATCTAACAGCAGACTATGTAACACACTGCAAAAAGCCTCACCCCAAATGCTCAAATTAAGCACGCACTCCGACCAATCATGAATGGATCAAAATCATACTAACTAATGATGCCTCATCGTTCAAAGCTTCTGCTGGGTGAGATCCCACTATTTTCACTTTTATTTGTCAGGTTTCTCTTTGTGCCTTCGTTGGATGACAAGGCACCTAATTAATGTCCTGCATGATGTTTTCAAATGTTCTTGGGCAGATGCCAATTGTAGGAATCCAAGTTTCAGAAAGATAAAAATTCAGTATGATCCCATTAGTAATCTCCATGGATCTCTATGAGTTACTGGCAAAGAAATATGAGTTAACATCAATTCTGCTTCAGGAATCAGGACCGTGTGCGCATTAGTTTTCAGAATGTTGTCAGCCCGCCATGCATGCTACTCGTGCATTAGCTACATGAATGCTGTTCCCAATATGACTCATTCTGTTTTAACTATAGATAGATAGATGATGGTGCCACTAAAATCTTTCTTCATCTTTCCCAATCAATTTCAGCATCCCGTGATGCTTCAAGATGAGCACGTGGATCTCCAACAATGACTTGTCCATTTGTTCCCAGCTGTCTGTGCTTTGTGGGTTAAATTTATCCCTACAGCCAAAGTTATCTATCTATAGATGCATGAGACAAGTGTTCAATGGGCTGGCAATACTGAATATGCAGTGAATATTGATTCAAGCTTAGTCAGCCCATCTCTTGGCTGTTGTTATAATCAACACTTTGCTACCCGGTCACCTCCATTTTTACTGTTATTATTTATCTCATCGGTTATATGCCTATGCATGAACCCATTACACATGTATGCAGAAATGAAATTGCTCACACAAAGGCTAAAGGAAAGAAGAAACGCTACTCATGAGCTATGGAAGGAAAACATTTCGGCAAGCTTTCGAGCAGAATATTATCCTCTTGCATTTCCAAAGACAAGGTTCCGGAACCACAGGATGACACTACTTACAGAAAACAGAGCATACTGACTGACAAGTAAAACTAAAGACAAGAGCACCCATATAAAGGTATCTATAGATGCAAGAAACAAGTTCAATGGGCTGGCAATACTGAATTCACAGTGAATTTGGACACAAGCTTAGTCAGTCCAGCATAAATCATGCTACCCAATCACCCCCGTTTGTACTGTTGTTATTCTTTATCTTATCAGCTATGCCTATGCAGGAACTGAAAATCAGAAGACATGTCTGCAGAAGAGAAATTGCTGAAACAATGGCTGAATAAGAAGTGCTACTCATCACCAATTTGCATACAATAAGAAAACATTTCAACTTCATCAAGCTTTCGAGCAGAATATTATCCTCTCACATTTCCAACCAAAAGGTTTCAGAACCACACCATGACACTACTTACACAAACAGAGCACACTGACTGACAGGTAAAACTAAACACAAGAGCACCCATATAAAGGTCTTCTTCACACTCTAGCAGGGCCTTAAACGAATTAAATCGGCAAACAAAGCATGAGATAGGAATATAACAGTAGACTGACTATGTAACACGCTGCAAAAAGCCTCACCAAATGCTCAAGTTAAGCAAGCGCTCCGACCAATCATGAATGGATCAAAATCATGCTGCTGCCTCATCGCCCAAGGCCTCTCCTGCTGAGGCTGCCTCATCGCCCAAGGCCTCTGCTGCTGCTGCTGCCTCCTCCGGTGCTTCAGCTTCGAGGACCCGCGCCTGGTAGGAGGAAATGGCACTGCAATCGCCGGCTGCGGCCGCCGCGAAGAAGGATCGCTTCCCGACCAGATCGGCGGCCCGCTTCGCGCACCCCGAGTCGCGGGGAGTCTCGTCGGGAGGCGGCATGGTCCTGATCCTCGGGAGCAGTTCAGCAACCTTGTCCAGTGATTCAGGAGAGAGGTCATCGTCGACAGGCTCAGTGGGCATCGCTTTGATCTCCTCCTCCTTCTGGCCTGCGCCCCCTGTCGATCCCGGGAGAGACTCCTTGCGGCGCCTCTCCTGTGTTGCAGCTCCCAGGGACGCGCCGGGCATGAGGCTGTAGCGGCTCGGGACGACCCGGACCTTGGAGCTCCCTGCCGGCCTCCTGCAGGTGGACGCAGTGCTGCTCTGGTTCATGGCAGCTTTGGGCGTGGGCTCGTCGGCCACCACCTTGGCGGCCCCGAACGCGGCGACGCCTCCCCTCGTGCTGTTCGTGGCCCTGGCGATGGACTGCCTCCTCGCCCTGGGGCTCATGCTGGAGCTCCTCGCCTTGGCCCTGCTCGCCGCCGTGCCTTGCTTGCTGCTGTCGAGCGGCTGCCTGGCGTTGCTCGACGGCCAGAGCTTAGCGGGGACCGCGGGCTGCTGCCTGGAAGCCTGCCCTTCTTCGCGGATGGCGTTCAGCTTGCCGGGGAACGGCTTGACCCGCGCCGCGCCCGCCGCGGCCACGGGCTTGGTGCCGCCGCTGATGCCGTGCTGGATCTCCATCGGGCCGAGGCTGACGCCCCTGCGGCGCTGCACGGGCGGCTCCTTGATCGGCTTCAGGATGTGGCTTGCGGGGGCAGCGCCCTGCTGCTGCTGCTGCTGACGCGCGGCGGGGGCCTTGGCGGGGTTCGCGGCGGCGATGTCGAGCGGGCCGATGCTGAGCCCCCTGCCGCCCCGCGACGCCGGGAACTGCTGCTTGGCGGCGGGCCTGGGCTTCTGCGCGGGGGGCGGGGGCTGCTGCTTCTCCGGGAGAGGGAGCAGGTTGTCGGGGTCCGCGGCGGCGGCGAGGAGGTCGTCGTCGAGGGGGGCGAGGCCGAGCCCCTTCGCCCGCGGCCGCGTCCCGGTGGACTTGGCGTTGGCGTCGTGGCCCCTGGAGACGCGGAGGTGGTGGAGGCGGGAGGAGAGGCGCAGGATCTCGGCCTCGATGCGCGCGATCTCGGCGTCGGCGTCGGCGTCGTCGGTCTCAGCGGGGCGGCGGTTCTCCTTCTCGCCCCTGCGCACGGGCGTGGCGTGCGCGTGCCAGGCGTTGGAGGAGGCGGAGTTGGAGCCGTCGAAGGCGGCGTTGTTCCACACGTGCACCAGCGGGATCAGCGGGTCCTCCTCCATCATCGCCGCCGCCGCCGCCGGGGACGCTCCCCCCTTACCCTCCGTCTCCTTCCGCTGCGGCGGCGAAATCGAACGGGGATCAGAGCCGGTAACAAGCGAGCGAGCGATTAGCGGGTCGAGATTGGGGAGGGGTCGGCGGGGTACCTGGATGGGTGGACTCGAGCGATTGATGAAGGATTCCTGCGTGATTAGGGGCGCGGTTTGGTGGTTGGGTCGGAGGATTATGAGGGGATTTGTTTCTCGTCGCCTGGTTTGAAATGGGGGTGGGGAGGGGGGAACGGATGCGGATGCGGCGCGTGCGCGGAGGGGAAGAGGAGGGGAGGGTTTAAGAGGCAGGCGCGAGTCGACCGTTGGGGCAAGGGAGCGGAAGGGGGGAGGGGAGCAAGGAGAGGAGGAGTAGTCGACGTTCGCTAGACGTTGAGTGGGTCCACCAAACGTCGCTCCCTCCTCTGCTTTTCGCCCCATCCGCATGATGCGGAGGAAAGATTACTTTTCAAAGGCGTGCTAGGCAAAATATATATATATATATATATACTACTCCATGTTCGTGGAAACAAAATCCAACAATGAATACAGGTGAGCAGTAAACCTTTTTTTCCATCAAGTTTGGATTGCTTACCATGAGTGTCACGCACTACAACGATGGAGTATTTCAGTGTTTACCGACGCACGTGTAAGTAAGTACTCCTTTCATTCCACAATGTAGTGCTTCCTTTATCCACGTGCTTCAACTTTGACCGTAAATTTAACTAGCAAGACCGATTGCGGCGGGAGCAAAAATTATATCAGTGAATTCGTATTTAAAAGAAGTTTTCAATTATATAAATTTTTTTCTCCCGCCGCAATTGATCTCGCTGGTTAAATTTATGGTCAAAGTTGAATCTCAGAAAGCGCGGACGCACTATATTTTGGATGGAGAGAGTACTTAGTACCGTAGAAAATGTGTACCATACTTCCTTGAATCTTCTCCCAGTACTTGCTCATTTCTTATTTATTTCTTTGAACACTACTTGTTCCTTTCCTTGGAGGGACGCATCTGAGGCTGCGCCTGCGTGCCCGCTTTCCACCGGTACTCTACAAATCAGCGCCCGGATGCACGCGGAAAATGGGCAGAGAACCAGAGCTGAGCTCCCCTGTTTCCCTCCTGTTTAAGGGCTCGGCCGATCTGAATTCGAATGTGCCGGCGAGCACACGCCAACGCCATCAACCATTCTTAAATTGCCACTCAAAACGTACGTGCTTGCTTGCGACGTCATAGTATATGTGTGACGCCCTGAGACCGTTGCGCCAGGTGTCTTCAAGTTATTCGTTGTCATTGCCATGCCATTTGCTTGTGTGTTGCATCTTGTTATGTCATCACATGTGCATTGTATCATCATATTTTTTTAAACTTGCATTCGTCTAGGTTTCTCAGTTCTTTTCATTGCCCGTTCTGAGCCTAGACACACTTGCACGCGCCTGCGGCACGTCTAAAATATTATTTTATAGGTGACCGAAAAATATTCTTGGAATGGAATGAAAGTTGGCGTGTTGTCTTATTATAGTGTAGATAGACCGCCTGTCAAGTTTCATCGCATTTGGAATCCGTTTGACGCCCTAACGGATAAATATAGCGGCAATAGTAGCCGGTCAAACGTCGGACGTTTTCGGTCTCCGGAAACAGTCGCCGGGTCTCTCTCTTCTCTTCTCTCAGCCCGAGGCTTTCTGCACATCCCACTACCACTCATCGCCAGGCCCAACCTAACCTTTCTTGTCAGCCCGCGGCCCTCCTCGCGCACGTTCGAAAGTTGTGCCGAGACCGACCCGGGCAGTCATCACCGTTGGGTCCGGATCATCCCCAAACGTCTACAGAACATCTTCGTTTTTCTTTTTGGACCTCCCTAGCTATTTATTCGCGGTCGTCCGATTGCGATCGGAGGGACGGATTAGCCCTAACCAAAAACCCACCTACTTTATAGTCAGTGTAAACCTACCTAACCCTAGACCAACTCCCTCTTTTTGCTCACCCGCCGCCACTCTCTCCTCGGGATCCCTCCCGATCCAAATCCCCGCCAACTAGATCGCTCCGACCAGCTCCCTTGATTTCCGCCGCCACCCAACTACAGCAATCCACCACCTTCTCCTCGTCTCTGCAGCGAACCCAACCAGCACCCCCTCGATCGACCTCCGCCGCGGCCTCCCTTGCCTCCATGGACGCGTCCAGCATCTGCAGTCCACTCCAAGCACTGCATGTTTCACGCCTGAGGAGATGCTCTCCGAGCTCCACCGGCGACCACTTCCAGCAGGATCCTCGCGTCCCTCTCCTCTGCTTCCTCCCGTTCCCCTTCATGTCTCTCTCTCACATGACTGCCTCTCATCTTCTTCTACAGGAGCTCTCCGCCATGGCCGTCGAGAGGAGCTTGCGTCCCCGTGCCCAGATGCTCCTCCGCGACTGCTGTTCCGCCGGAGCACCAGTGGCTCGGATCCGTGCCCCATCATCCATCCCAGTCGTCCACGCGTCGTCGGAGGTCGCCCCGCGCGCCAAGTTCGCCGCCGCCGCTCCCCTGCATCATACTGCCACATCGAGCCATGCCCGTTGACCGCATTCGCCAGATCCCGCGAGAACCTTCGTCCCCGCATCGCCTTGCCCTGCATCCCGCGGCCAGCCACGCCAAGTCCCTGCGTCGCCGTCCTTGCACCCGCCGGCCTCCCTGCTTCTGCTCCCTGAGACCACCGCCACTTCTTTCTGTGTGAGAGGAGGACGAGCGCGTCACTCGCAGACCTCCTCTGCTCGCACGCACGTGGGCCACAGTGCCGCGTGAAGGCCCAGTTGCGCCAGATCCGGCCTGCCTGGCATCCCCCCTCTCCAGCTGGGCTAAAGCCCATGGTGAGCCACCCAAAGCCCTACACCCAGCGTTTTCAGCCTGCATATTTTTTTTCCTGAGCTGCAATTTTACCAATTTTCAGGGAATTGTCAGTTTTGCAGAATAGCCCCTAAACTTCATGCATTTAATAACTTCACAACCATGCATCGGATTAGAACAAGCTTTATATGTAAAATGTCTAGAATTTTGTATACTTTAATAATATCTAATTTTCATCCATGTTTGAAATGTTTAAACTGCTGTTTGCATTAATTTGCTCCTATGCCATGCTAAAATGTTTTAATTCATAACTAATTAACCATAGCTCCGAATTTAATAAACTTTATATGTAAATGGGGTAGAAAAATGCCTAGTTTAAACGGTGTCATTACTTTGCATCTTTAATAACTCTAAAATTGTGTTTAGGAAAAAACAGTACCAAATCTATAATGTGCTCATGAGGATTTTTCCGGACTTGTTGCTTGTTGTTCCGGCCTCATTTAAATTTGCCTAGATAGGTAGTTTTCATTTGCTTCACCCCTTGCCATGTTAAGAACATTTAATATTGTTGGGTACATAACGAGATCGAACTAAGTAATGGAATGTGGTGTTTTGTCAATATGCATCCCAATGCATATTGAGCTCCACTTAACTTGTAGTGTTGTTTGTGCACTTTGCCATGCCATGCCTCATTAAACCGGACATGCATCATACTTGATTGTGCATCATGCCATGTTCATGTGGTGGTTGTTTACCATGTTGTTTGCTTCTTTCCGGTGTTGCTTCTTCGGGTTAGTTCCGATAACGTTGCGTTTGTGAGGATTCGTTCGACTTCATCCGTTTGTCTTCGTCATGGACTCGTTCTTCTTCCTTGCGGGATCCCAGGAAAGATGACCATACCCTCGAAATCACTTCTATCTTTGCTTGCTAGTTGCTCGCTCTATTGCTATGCCGCGATACCTACCACTTGCTATATCATGCCTCCCGTATTGCCATGTCAAGCCTCTAACCCACCTTTCCTAGCAAACCGTTGTTTGGCTATGTTACCGCTTTTGCTCAGCCCCTCTTATAGCGTTGCTAGTTGCAGGTGAAGATGAAGTTTGTTCCATGTTGGAACATGGATATGTTGGGATATCACAATATCTCTTATTTACTTTAATGCACCTATATACTTGGTAAAGGGTGGAAGGCTCGACCTTATACCTGGTGTTTTGTTCCACTCTTGCCGCCCTAGTTTCCGTCATATCGGTGTTATGTTCCTTGATTTTGCGTTCCTGACGCGGTTGGGGGAATGGGACCCCCTTGACAGTTCACTTTGAATAAAACTCCTCCAGCAAGGCCCAACCTTGGTTTTACCATTTGCCACCTAAGCCTTTTC